AGCCATATGCAAGCGTTGTCGTGCTCAGTTAAAAGAGGAGCTGGAATCAAGCCCTCAAACCCTGACGGATGTAGCTCAAATTGCGCAAGGAACTACTTCTGAGGATACCGAGATTACTCAAGTACGTCAGTATTATTTGTTTCATTATTTATAATGACCGATGTCGGTTAGTATATAGTTATATTATCATTTTCGAATATCTTGCATATGCTTCACGATTGAAAGGGAACCATGCAATACCATTCGCCGGAAAGATTTGAAACAGGCATCTGTCTATATTTCCCTTTTACAAAGAGGAAATCTATGGGTACAACCCTGGGAGTTTCATCTCTTCTCTTTACGGTCTTACTAGTTGTATATCAATTGGTCTGCGTTTGTTGAGTTATGGTGTTTCCTTGCAGAACACTCAGAACATTCATGGAGGCGAAGACGACGTCGACAACCTAGGCGATTTGCTAAGTAAGATATCTATTGTAGAAGACAATGTCGATATCCTGCCAGACGGAACAAGCAGCACCAGTGAATCTGCAACAGCTACAAGCACCAACAATCAGTTCAAGAAAGTTGCTGCAGAAGACACTAGTGTAATTCTGTCAGATGAAACATCTAGCAGCAATGGATTGACAGCTACAACCATCAATAGTCGGAAATTAAAAAAACTCAATGAATTCCTCCATGTCTGCGGCGGGACAGCACCAATCRGTCAACCCAAAAAGCGGTGGGAAGATTTGACCACGCACAGTAAAAATAATCATGTTGATAAGGCTACAACTTTAATCATGTCCGCTTTGGAAGTGATAACACCCGGTGATGCTGGAAGTATTTGGGACGCTATTCAGACGTCACAAAGTGTCGAAAAGGTTCTTGGGATTTCGCATTCAGCCGACAGAAAATATCTTGAGGCCTTAGCTGAGACCTACGAGAATGCGACTAGTTGGAACACCCGTAGACAGGTCTTGGGAATAATTGCAGATCTGGTTCCTTTTTCTCAGATCCAGAGATTTATCCCTGGTATAACAGAGTATCGCTTCAAGATAGCCAGATTGCATATTCTTAAGTATGGGCGTGGGGCACCAGTACCAGTGCAAAGGAGTCCCAGAATGAAAGTTGATGAGAATCAGCTGGATCACTTCCTTTCCTTTATAACTAGTCCTCATGTTATTCAAGATCTYCCGTTCGGCCARCGATACCTCCACTTAGCAAATGGGCAAGTCATTGAATGTCCAAATGTAATTCGATCGATGATTCCGCAAAGAATCGCCAMGCAGTACACACAGTTTTGCAAAGAAGATGGAACCAAACCTTTGAGCCCGTCGACCATCTTACGAATTTTATCAGTTTGCACTGCAACTGTACGAAAGTCTTTGCAGGGTTTGGACTATATTTCAGCTGAGGGAGCCAAGGCATTTGATGATTTGGCTGGATTACTCGCAAAGCTTGCAAACTATGGTTGCGATCAACAGTGGGTCAGTTCTTGCGAGACAGCGTTAAAAGCTATGAAACAGTACATTAAAACTGACTACGAGGTAATTATATTTTTTCATTATATAGTACTTGGGTGTTGTGAGACCGCACAGTCTTTGTTATTTAAGCAATACCGATAGTCCTTATCGAAATTCCACTGCAAGACACGCGAAGATGGAAAATTAGGGGAGGGGAAGGCTACAAGGTTCTAAAAGCATGCTTAAAACCATGCTTACCCAATACCTCTTCTAATTTTGTCCAAAACTGACCTCATTGTTATTAAATCTTACAGGTGCACATTTCTGATGCCTCAAACGTCCCTGACCACTGCTGTGTCTATGCCTTGAGTGACAAGAAGCAACCTTTCTTCCGTTCCAAGTGCAACCACTTCCACAATCACTCCTGTTCGTCGTGCGAACAACTAAAATCTACCCTTGCTTCGATTGAGTCAAGTGTAAAAAGTACAGCTGAAAAACGTCCAGAGGAAGAACATGACGATATGATATTTACTTGTCAGCAGTCAGTAGCCGCAATAGAAGCATGGAAACAGCACCAGCTGCGTTCCGTTCAACAAGATAAGCCCCGCACAGATCTTCTAGCCAAACTAGACGAAAACTCAGTTTTGATTACTCAAGACTGGGCAATGAAGTTTTTGCCGCAAAAATACAGAGAAACACAGATGGACTGGTTTGGAAAAAGAGGCATATCTTGGCACATTMGTGTTGTTATAAGGCGGTTGGCAAACGGTAAACTACAACAACAAGTATTCATTCATATTGTAGAGAACTGTTGCCAAGATACTGACGTGGTCATACCAATCATGCAGCACACTCTTACAGAGCTAAAAAAAGAACACCCAGATATCACCTCCGCTGCATATCGCCAAGACAACACCGGCTGCTATCACAGTGGCCCCATGTTGGCAGCTTGTTGCCTTATGGAGGAAACTACAGGAATAAGTGTTGACCGGGTTGATTTCAGTGATCCCCAGGGTGGTAAGGGGGCATGCGATCGCAAGGCTGCCACAATCAAATGTCATGTTCGCCAGTACATAAACGAAGGTCACGATGTAGTGAATGCAGCTCAATTAAGAGAAGCCATCTTATCTAACGGGGGCGTACGTGGTGTGCGAGTGGCACTGGTAGATGCAGGAGGAATCAAGCCTTTGGAAGCAATAAAGATAATTGGCATCAGCACGCTGAATAATTTTGCCATCGAAAACAAAGAAATGACCGCGTGGAAAGCATACGACATAGGCAACGGAAAGATCATACCTTGGGCTAAACTAAATGGTAAACATATTTCACTAAAAATAATGATGATGTTGGTAGTGGATAGCGATGACGATGGCGATGGCGATGGCGATGATGATGGTGATAATAATGATGATAGTGATGGTGATAATAATGATGGTTATGCCTTTGATGATGGTAGTGGTGATGATAATGATGATGATGATGGTCACATGATGCTGATGGTCCTGGTAGCGAAGATGGTAATGATGGTGATGCCATTCGCGTTGCTTATGTTGTTGTTGTTGTTGTTGGTGGTGGTGGTGGTGGTGATAGTGGTTTTGACAATGATGATGGCAGTGTGGTGATGACATGATGATTATGATGGTCCTGGTAGCGAAGATGGCGATGATAGGTGTTGCTTGTGTTGTTGTTGTTGTTGTTGGTCGTGCTGGTGGTCAGGTGGTGGTGGTGATGATGATGATAGTCACATATAATTTTCAATACARTATATTTTCAGTGTCTGGCAGCTTGTGCCTCACAACGTTTAAAACTTTCAATTGTGAGTTTTCTGTTGGTGATTTCGTGGACATCACTCCATCCAGAAGCCAAAACACCAYTAAGGCGGTTAACRTCAACGCCGATGACRAAGGCGATGATAATGAGGATGACGACATTGACGAGGAAAAAGAAAAGTTGTTCACCTGTCCCCATGAGGGGTGCATAAAGAATTATCATYGACATTCATCTCTTGTAAACCRTATGGAATATGGAGTATGTGAGCTGCGGCCAGAAAGACAAGGTCTCATGGACAAGGCCAAAGTGATGTATACAGAGAAAGTGTTGCAAGGTGTTGGTGAACAGCCTGTTTTGAAAAGCTCCGATACTCCACTGTTCAACAATGAAGACATGCTACCCGAGGGATGGGCACTTAGAACCACTAAAT